ATCGTATAAAGAAGGTATGGAAGGATGAAGCAGAGAAGCCAGCAAATCTTAGTATAGGGTTGGAGAGCCAAATAAGTGGATTAGGAAGACTCACAGAGAAAGTTGCTGCTTGTGTTGAAATCTATTAGGGGGTTATAGAAAAGCTTTGCAAGCTTCTCTTAACTGAAAGAGGAGAATATCAAATTAGGCTGTTTTTTTTTTTTTAATGAATAAATATTTGTTTGTGCTTACGCTTTAAAACCAAACCAGCCTGACATTTATATTTTTATGAATTTGCCTTACATCTGTTTCTGAAGCTAAAATTTTAGAGTATGGGTAGACAGTTGCCACCCACAAGGAAAAGCAATATAGCTTAGTTTTTATTATTGGGTATTAACTGCAAATAGGTACTTTTTTCTTATAAAATTAGGTAATCTGCCTTTATTGATGAGCATTTTAAAAATATCAGATTATTTCAAGTCCTTTGCATTATCAAAATGATAAAGGTCTCCTGTGGTTAACGTGAGTGACAGATGTTACAGTCATTGAGATGGAGAGACTGGTGCAATTGAAACAAATAGCTTCTGGAATATATATATATATATAGCTTTTCTGTATAAAATTTAAAAATATAAATAAGACTCAGTATAAGTTTGTTATTCATTAGCAGTTTTTCTTGCTTTAGATTCAAAATAGAATGTATATAAGTTATACCAACTTGGGAATATAGGTCAACTTTAATATTTTTTTGCTTAAGTACTTAAGTTTTTGCCAATTTATTTTTAGTTCACCTCCCACCCCCTTTTTTGGCAAGGCTGCTTTTAACTTCCAGCCAAACTAAGCACAACGTAAGTTTTAGTCACTTTTAACCGTATTACAGCAGTGATTATTGTGGGAATAGTTGTTTCATTGCCAGCTCCAGAAGCTCCTCTTCTGAACAGTGTACAGGAAGGTACAGCTGCTACTTCCTAAAATCTGGAAGACAGCTTATCAAAAGTTACAAAATCACAATTATACTGCTCATTTCTTAGTGACTTCTGGTGTCTTTACCCAGTTTAGAAGTTAGGACTGCATTCCAAATAAATCACATATGGAAACTTCTATGGTGTTGATATAACATGGAAAAATTCTGTATGTTTAGATCTCACAACTATTGAAGTTTTAAGGGGATCCTTTCATCCAGGGAGGTTATGACATGGTAGAAAAAAGCACCAGTCAGGAGTAACATGGCCTGTGTTCTCATTCCAGCTTTGCTACTCTATCTGCTTTACATAAGTCTAGTTACTTCTCTTACCTGCTCAACCCACCTCCCAGAAATTACATGCCATAAATTAGGTGAAAAAACTCTCTGAGGATGTTATGTAACAGCCATCAGGAACTGATGTGATCCCATTTGACTGATACGACCTTCGCAGAATTATCAGTTTAGAAGATGAAAAGTCTGTTTTAAAGTAGATTTAGCTTAAGAAGGTGAAAACATCACATTAAAATAGTTTATCTTTTAAAACAGCCATGCTTTTCTTTTATTATTTTTATTTTATGTGTATGTGCGTATTGCCTGCATGTAGGTAAGTGCACCCGTGTCGTGCGATGTTGCGGAGGTCAGAAGAGGCTGTGGGATCCCCTGGGACTGGAGTTATGGACAGTTGTTAGCTGCAATGTGGGTGCTGGGATTCGAACCCGGGTCTTCTGCAAGGACAACCAGTGTTCTTAATTGCTAAGCCATCTCTCCAGCCCCGCCATGCCTTTCTTAAAACATACTTTAATTCACTTAGCATTCACTTTTATTCTGTTTACAATGTAAAAGTAACTTTGAATCAACTTTTTAGCCTGATTTTGGATGATATTTGAAAAGAAGTAGTTCTGGATGTGGATGTTAGATCTTTAGCCTGAAATAAGCCTTTCTTTTAAGGAAAGTTGGGGAGGGGAACCACTCTCAATCTGGAACACAGCTCAGAGACCTCTGTTTCTTGGATATATGGGCTCTCTCCAGCAGTGACAGCTGAGTGTCCTTATTGTGGCCACTGCTGTTGCTTTTTAAACACGTGCTAATTTGAGTAGCCTCACCTTACAAATAGATTTGCAGAACAGGAAGAAGATTCTTGAAAGGGAGGATTGTGATGAAATCGATAAATATCTCTGTTTTAAAATCTTGTACAGCCTTCTGTTTTAAAATCTTTTCTTCTGGATGAGACATTAGTCTTTAACTGAGGATCTCTGTAACTGAAGACAAACAATAAAATACCAACAGAAAGGAAATTATTAAAGGATTATATGTATTTAAATTACTTGTATCAGTAACCCACTCTAGCCTCAGTAGGTATAAACTAAAGGAAGGGACAATTCAGATCCAAGAAGTTCTTAGCTGGGGGGCATGGTGGCACAGCACTTGGGAGGCTAAGACAAGAGGACTTCGAGTTCAAGGTTAGCCTAAGTATATAGCTCAGCTCTGTCTTTTTTTTTTTTTAATGTATTTTTATTCTGTATGTTTTTTTCAAATTGAAAAATTCAGTTCAGGTTATTTGATAGTTGAATCAACTCATTATCTTCATGACCATGTATATGAGCAGATTAGATACTGAGTTCTTTTTTATTATAAGCTCATTAATTTGGTTTTGCAGTAAAAAGTTACTGTGTGATCTTTTAAGACTACATTTAGGGTGCTTCTTAATCAGAATTAACTAGAAATTTTCCAAATATACTGACTTCACCAAATCTTATCTTAATAAAAGACATAAACTTATAAAACGTTGATCAATAATGTTGTAGACATTTGCTGCCCTTAGTGAATTTACCATTCGAATATCCATATCCGTATCCATAATGCGAATAGGAAAATGCTCCCACAAAAGACTCAAGTTAATGGACGTTATCTTTCTTTTTTAAAGACTTTAAAACTTGGTGGAATTTGAGTTGCAGAAATATTTTTGGTTTTTGTTTTCTCTTCCTATGGGAGAGTGCCTTTCCCTTCTCCATGCAGGCAGGAGACTATAGCCTAGGTGTTTTGTGCTGACTACAGCCGCCTTTCTTATAACCCAGGAGAATACAATCAAGGAAAAAGACCTGAGTAGGGCAAACCTGGGAAAGTGTTCCAACTCAGCAGGCCTCCAATTTCATTTCATGGAAATGTAAATGAAAAGTAGGTGTTTCATAGATGGGGTTGGAGACTCCTGTTCCTATGATTGATGCTCTCATTGTAAGTAACTTGAAAGAAAAGGGATTAAAAGTTGGGAAGAGACCAATGCAATAATTTGTACAGCTCTATTATGTTGAATAGATCTTTTAAAAATTATTTATTTCTGTGCATACACACACAAGCAGTGGTGTGTGTGTGGAAGTCAAAGACAACTTTTGGAAGTCGGTTCATGGGATCACTCACGGTGATCAGGCTTGTGTGACAATCACTTTTACCTGCTGACCCATCTTTTGCCCTACTTAATAGTTTTAATGACTTAGGGGGATTTGAAAGTTTTTTTTTTTTTTTAATAAGTTCTAAATAAGGCCTCTGGCAACTAATAAGGCTATTTAAAATCTGTATTCATCTTAATACAATTTAGTTTCTAGTTTTATGCTCGGATACCATCCTAGTTAATTAAACTGGACATCAGGAAATGGATAAGTTATTGCTACTGCCATCTTTACAAGGTAGATGAACCAAGGTGATGCTTCTGAGATACTGTGAGCAAATGGGGAACCCGTTTCAATTCTCTGCTCTTGCTTTTCTTCATTATACATTCCTTTGTGAGTGATGAGCTTAAGATGTGGCAAGAAATAAGTTGCTTAAATTTTAATATCAGTATTTTTTTAACCACTGATTTAGATAGCACTGAGGCTGGAAATCATTACACATTCCAAAGCGTTCTATATATTAAAACATTTGGGGACTTTTCAAACTGAGTATTTGATTTCTTTTGAAACTGAAAACAGTAGTTTTAATCATTGTGA